GTGGATCTTTTACTTTACCGACTTGTACAGCGGGCATTATCCATAGAATAAGCGCTTTGTGCGAGCAAAAACAATTCTTGATAATTTCGAATGTCTCCTCACGGATTCCGTGTAGAAGGGGTTTTTGAAGCTCCAGCAACGAAATAACATCGTTTTGTGGTGGTAATGGTTGTCCAAAATGACAGACATCAACAGTTACGTTTGAGGCTTCCAAACAGTGGCGTACCTCAGAAACGTACCGACCGTCAGAATCATAGCACAGTAGACTGACCCGTGACAGTGTGTGTTCTGAGCTCTCACGGGCTACTACGATCCCAGCGTTGAGTTGATAAGGCGCGTCGTCATCGAGGATGATTGCTTCGGGTTTTGGGAAGCCGGCATCGAGAAGTTCTTTCGTCCATCTCTCTGGTGAAATGAATGGCTGATCCACGCGATCATCTAGTGCTCCAAGCCACCATCCGGAAAGGAAGCCCTAAAGAAATCTGTTAATACCTTGATGGGAAATCGAAACAGAATTGTGCACTCACCATGACATAGTTGACACACATCATTTCTGGAACTAGTTAGTAAATTTCCATCTTTCCGCACAATCCCACTATAAATTGCTAGGAAAGAACTAGTGAGTGCACAAAGCGTTTCACATACCTGGGTTGAGCTCTTCTAAGAAGAGTCGCCCTCTTGGGCTTAACAAACTACGCATGTTACACAGAGTTGTTCTCAGGCTTGGAGTAGCATGTAAAACCTAAGTATAAATGGTTGCCGATTAGTATACACGACCTAGAGGAGTGATGGGTGGAATAGAGGAAATGAAACTAACATTTGCGGCAATGATCAAATCGAAGCTACCCAACTGAAAGCCTTGCTCAGCTGGATCTTTGGTGACATCCAGTACGGCGTATTCTATTGCAGCATGGCTTGAGAACCTCTCTTTAGCAGCTGCCATGAACCCGGATGATACATCTGTGTAAGTGTAGACACTATACAGACGCTCGCCATAGGATGACGTCAAAGCCCGCAGAATATTGGCTGTTGTCCCTCCTGTGCCAGCACCCACTTCGAGAATTCGCATGTTTGGGTTAGTGTTGGCCAGAATACTGATCATGTCAGCCGAGTCAACTGAGAGTGCATCATAGAAGTCGGTGAGAACATTGTTCTCCATCATAACATGAAGAGGGTGCATTTCATTTCTGAAAATCGCAGGCGCGACGGAAAAGAGTTGAAATGCTGCCTTGGAGAAAGCAGCATAAGGTGATGAGGAGAGTGCACGCATAATCTCATCTACGCGTTTAACTCTTTCCTCTACACTCCTCTTTTCTAGCAAGATGTCTTGATTTACGAACTTGTTCGCCCCCTGTATATAGCGTTGGACCTGCGCTTGCATCCATTTCATGAGCTTGGCAAGATGTTCGGCAGTATCGTCATTCGTCTGGATTCCTTCGCAATGGTTGAACATGCAAAGAAGAACAAGTTCCTCGAGCAATGGCCACTCATTGATACGCGGTGCTTTTCGATGGAAGTGTTTTCTCAGGTCCACGAAATCGCTATGTGGCATCCACTCGAATTGCGAAATTAACGGGATTGTATTTACTCGTGCATCATCGTTGCTTCTTGTCATTGCGCTCATTTCGAGGCCTTTTAGGCCGATTCTTGTAGTGACTGGCTCTCCGAGGTATCCCGCACTCTTCACTACAACATTTCCGGCTATCGAGCCCCGCTCCGATTTCTTAGTGACGTTGGCCATTATTTCCAGAGTATGATCAGCCGGACAAGGATGCAGGAGTAACTCTTCTATGAAGGTTGGGACCGATATACTTTTCAAGTCTCGACACAGCCCACGAGAGGATGCCACAGCAATAAGTTGGAGGAATTGGTCGATGACGGCTGGATGAAGCACATACCTAGAGCACTTTGGTTTTCCATGTGTATGTACAATCTCAACAGTGGCTTTGGCTTCATTCATGGTGGTTGCGGCCGAGATATTCTGCATGCCCTCAAAGTCACCCGTGTAGTTAAACCCAACATGCCTTAGTCCGGTATACCACGTCTTTTCGTCTACCTTGCGTGGAAATGAGCCAGTCTGGGCTACCATATGTCGAGGAAATGCGAAAGAGCTGTCTTGAGACGCTCTTGCTTCGCCAAAACAATTCCTGGCCCATCTCGTTCCGTCGAAAGAACTGATAGTGAATTGAAACCAAGGAGTGGTTTCAGACGAATCAACCATGATTCTCTTGAAGCTTGTTATGATTTCTGTGATCTTATCCATCTTTAGAACTAGCGCTGAGGCGATACGTACATTCCTCATGCTGAACGTGCCATCAGAACTTCCATCTTCAGTTTCAGACAATTGCTGAATAGCTTCGCCGACCATGGCAATATAACCAGCGGCAGGGAAAATGATATCGCCATTCACTTCGTGTCCAGCTAGCCAAGGGACTTCATTAAGAGTGAATACCTTTCTCCATACAGGCTCATTGGCTGCTGACTCGAAGACTCTGCTTCCAAGAAGCTCGTGTGGGGGATGTTCGCGAAATCTCCATTCTCGAGAAATCCGTGGCTCGAGCCAGTGGGTTATATCTTGCTTCCAGGGGTAACGAGGAAGATTTTTGACAAATTTCCCCGGTGGACAGAGAACCTCGTAATTCAGAGGGAGGCCTTGTTGATAGAGCTTGCCAGCGAGATACATCAGGCTCTCATCACAAGGGTTGCCTCTGCGAAGAGAGCCGATGTGCAAGATATGGTTATTACGGCCAGTATCCCTGAGGATCTGGCCAATCGGTCCAGCAAGCGCGGGATGAGGGCCAATCTCAATCAAAACAGCCTTGTCAGTATCGCTTGGTAAGATCTCTTCGAATGAAGAACGTAGAGCAGAGTTGAATAGAACAGGACGCTCCATATTAGCACGCCAGTATTGCGCATCAAGACAACTGTCTCCAGTCAGAAGCTTTCCAGTGACCGAAGAATAAAAGGGTATCGTAGGGCTACAGCTTTGGACGTAAGGCGTGATTTGTTTCTCATAAGTTTCCCCGTGCCGGAGCATATGGTGAGAATGATACGCTCTCTCCACCCGTAAGAGGCGAGCCAATACTCCAGGTCGTTCGGCCTGGATATTTCTGAGGACCTCCTTGACAGCTTCTGTATCTCCGGATAAAGTTGTGCTCAGTTGACTGTTCTCGCAAGCAATGTCCACCCCAGGTAACAGAAAAGGCAACACATCATCTCTACCAAGTCCGACTGCTGCCATGGAGCCCTCTTCTTTTACTGGGACATTACTAAATCCGCGGGATGCTGCGACTGCTATTGCAGCCTCCGCTGTGATAGCTCCACTGGCATAGGCGGCAGCTGCCTCACCCGATGAATGTCCAATCACACCATGGGGAATAACTCCCCAAGAACGAATAACGTCCACGAGAGCTATCTGTATAGCCACACAAAGAGGATGGCCAAGCTCAGCACTGTACACTCGGCTATCATTCTCGCCTTTATGCAACTCGTGCTCGATCTTCCATAGTGGCGGTGTCTCCATAGTCTGCAAAAATCGGTCCAGTTTCTGGATTGTCTCCCTAAAAATGATGTTTGTATCCCAAAGGTGTGCCCCCATTGTAGGCCATTGCGCACCCTGTCCGGTGAATACTAAAATAGCTTTGATCTCATTCCAGCCATCCAAAACCGATGGAACACTGGTAGTGAGCGAATCTGAAAGTTGTGGCGTGCACATGTGTCCACTTGTAACAACGAAAGAGCGATGAGGACGATGTTCTCGCTTGTTAGCCAAAGTGTATGCGAGGTCATGGAGTTCTAATTGTCTCTGGTCCTGGGCGAATTGTATGTGGCTATGGACTTGCTCTTGGAGTGATTCTGCATTATAAGCAGAGAATAGTAGCAAATTAGACCCAGAGGTCTGCTGGCACCGAATTTTCTCAGAATCATCATTATTGAAGTAGCTGTTGTTGATGAATTCATGCTGGTTACCGACCGGAGATGTCTTATCGTTAAGGTTGCCTGCGTCTGGGAGTGCCACATATGTCTGCTCACTCGGATGTGTGAACCAAGTTTCATTAGTTGAAGATCTCCGAACTGGACAGAAATTAGTTAGAAAGCCAGCGGCGGAGACTTGCGGTGATTTAAGAATTCATAGGCGACTCACGTTTAGCGTCGATCTGCAAGTCGAGGTTGAATTGCCGATACGATTCAATAATGACCTATTTACTGTTTAGTGATGTTGCTTTTACATGATCTCTGTTTACTACCGCAACGATATAAATTGAAAGCAGACGTACATGTGCATTAACACCTCCAATGCCAAATGAATTTACACTGATTCTTTCAGCGCGGCCCTTAGGCCAAGGTTCCGTTTCGATCGGGACATGGAGCTTGCACTCCTTGAAAGGAACTGTTTGGAAAGTTAAAAAAA